ACAGAAAGCAAGTGAAGTGGAACTGAACAGTGAAGGGAAAAGTGATCTCAATCTTTGTGCTAGAAACTGGTCAATTTGCTTAGGGACAAGAAAATGTCATAAAAGGCATGCAGCAAGATGCTTTCATTGCAGAGGGACAACAATTAATAGATCTGAGGCATACACAGACCTTCAAGCTGTATAGACATCTCTTACCTCTGAAGTTCAGGGTAACCTGGGGCATGACATCTTAATTTCACTTTGTCTTTGTAGAGGGTCCAATCACACAGGAAGGACTCCAGACATCTTGTTTAACTGAGAATGGTCATATTATGTTGCTGTAAGAGAAAATTAAATAAATTAAGACTATGGACAAGGAACTTTGCTGAGGCCTACCTACAAGGCAGGCAAATAATTTTAAACCTTTAACACTCAGGGGATATGAAAGGTGTCCTCATTTCAATAGGATTAAAAAAAACACCATTGCAAGCATCTGCAAACATCCGTAAATAGTGAGTTCAATCACTAGATTGACATTGGCAGTACCTCCTTTTACCATTGTCACAAAGTTTGCCACTCTGTATCTCCCTTCCTAGGTGGTATGTGTGTGGATATTGCTACTATTGCTATTCCTATTGCTGAAGTAGTTCTAAAACAATTGGACCAAAAACAGAAACCAATTATTTTTGGCTTTGCAAGTGAATGAAGATAGGTTTTGATCTAAAGAGCACACAATCTAAAGAGAAAAAAATCAACAGAAAAGGGAGAGAAAAGACAGTTTAAGTGTCCTTATTCCTATTTCACAAAAGGGAATATTCCTATTTATTCCTATTTCACAGAAGGGAAACCATTCATATATATATATAAGGTAAACCTTAATGTGTATACCTTATATATATAAGGTAAACAAAGGATGGCATAGTAAATCTGGTGTTGGGAGATGGATTTGCCTCTTCCTCAATGCCTACTTAATAAAGACCATCTCTGTACCCCACCAACATCATTTTAAACTACACTTTGTAGAACTCTGTGGGAAGTGAACTGTGAAACTTGATCAACTTAATAGTGCTTATGACTACGTATTCAAATTCCCTTTTTCTAGGGATCATATTGCCTAATCTCTATATATTTGAATTCCTGATTATTCTTAGCTTGTTCCCTGTAGCTAGATTTTTCTAGAGTTAACAAATTGTTTGCAGTAAGGCAACAACAAATTCCAACAAGAGCAATTACCTTCACAATCTAAAATACTTTAGTAGTACATTAAATAGATTATAGACATCTATGAAACACCTTTCCTATATATATATATATATTTTTTTTTTTTCCCTCTCCAAATATATTTTGGTGTTTTGCATTCTGGCACCGATGCTTTTGCCTATTCTGATAACAATTTGCTTTGCTCCTTCATAGGGTGCATAACAAAGATTTCCCTGAGTTCAGGTGAAGTCTGGAGAGCATGTCTCTAGACAAAGGCTTTATTCATGGAGAAAAAAGTTGGATCCTCACAACAAGAATCCTTTGCCTAGATTTGGCCATAGTTCAGCGCAACCGTTGTTGAATGGGTGCATGCGGGAAATCTCCCACTTTCCTTCCTATTCTCCCTGCCTTTAGGGATGCTGCTGCAACCTGGATGCCACATGTGCCTAGTGTGGTGATGCACTGCTTTCACCTCAGAAGACCTCAGTAAAAGAAGATACAGTTGATGTTATCTAACACATCTTGGTAAAAGAATACCAGAGCAGCATTATTCTAGACCAGTGGTTTGGACCTCTGCAGTCTGCACCTGTATGCTCAGACCTGTTTGCTTTGCTTGGTTGGCTCTGTGAATTGGAATGGGTTGCCCAGGGAGGGGGTGTTCAAGGAAAGGTTGGACCTGGTGCTTAGGGATATGGTTTAGTGGATGACATAGGTAGTAGGGTGATAGATGGATCTTGAAGGTCTTTTCCAACTTTAATGATTCTATGATTCTTGTGCAGAGCTGGCACCCCTCTGGAAACTGCTGTAGTTGATGTTATGTCAATGTTATGTCAATGTTATGATGTTATGTCAATGTTATGTCAACGATATAATGTTAAGGAGTGCTTTGCTGGCATATGATAGATTTGGTTTTCTCTGCCTCCTGGTGCGGATATGGCCTTAATGGAAACATACCTTTCAACACCTAAGAAGAGTAAGTGCTGAAAAGAGCATGTGGTCTGTTTTTATATCAGATGTAAAAAGTTCTGCTTTCTTTTTATTTGTTTCCAGTGAGACTACAAAAAAAAATAAAAAAAAATCATGTCCTATCTCATGAGTGTGTGTGTTGGACACAGCAGGCCAATATTTGCAAAATATTGCTTCAACCCAAATCCTAACTGTAATGCCTGAGAGACCAAACTGGGATCTGCTGAGATTACTGAATTTCCTGGTTAGCTGTATCATGGTTATCCAGGACAGCCTGGATGTTCATAAATATCAAGATTCAACATTAAAAAAAAAAAAAAAAAAAAAAAGACAGGTTCTTTTCAACTTTCTTATAAAGAGCATTTTTTTTCTTTAACATTACTTTGAGTTTGTCGTGGTTCTGCTCCAGTGGGCAGAACTCCACCACAGCTGCTCTCTCACTCCCCCTCGTCAAAGAGGAATGGGGAGAAAATATGTGAAAAGGACTCAAAGGTTGAGATAAGGACAAGAAAATCACGCAATAATTATTGTAACGGGCAAAACAGACTCAGCATAAGAAGACAGAGGAATTTATTGCTCATTACTAACAAGCTAGAGAAGTGAGAAACAAAGGAAAGAAACCAAAAACACCTTCCCCCCCATCCACCCTCTTCTACCTCCTCCCCCCGAGTGGCACAGGGGAACGGGGGAATGGGGGTTATGGTCAGTCTACAGCACTTCTTCTCTGCCGCTCCTTCTCGGTCACTCTCGTCCCCTGTGCTGTGGGGTCCCACCCACGGGATGCAGTCCTTGATGAACTGATCCAGCGTGGGCTTCCCACAGGCAGCAGCTCTTCCAGAACTGCTCCAGAAATGGGTTCGTACCACGGGGTCCATCCCTCAGGAGAAAACTGCTCCAACCTGGCTCCCCCATGGGCAGCAGCTCCTGCCAGGTCACCTGCTCCTGCGTGGGCTCCTCTCCACAGGCTACAGGTGCGGCCTGGAATCTGCTCCGGCAGGGGTCTCCCACAGGTATCAGCCTTCATCGGTGCAGGGCCACCTGCTCCACCGTGGTCTCCTCCACGGGCTGCAGCGTGGAACCCTGCTCCACCATGGTACTCCATGGGCTGCAGGGGGACATCCTGCTTCACCATGGTCCTCACCACAAGCTGCAGGGGACTTCTGCTCCGGCGCCTGGAGCACCTCTCCCCCTCCTTCTACACTGACCTTGGCGCCTGCAAGGCCGTTCCTCACTCCTTTCACTCTCCCAGCTGCTGTGTGGCGCAGCGTTTTTTTTTCCCTGTCTTAAATATGCTCTCACAGAGGCGCAAAACAACATCGCTTATTGGCTCAGCTCTGGTCAGCAGTGGGGCCCTTACAAACATGGGGCAGCTTCTAGATCTTTCTCACAGAAACCACCCCTATGGCCCCCTGCTACCAAAACCTTGCCACATAAACCCACTACAGAGTTGCAAAACTTTTTCCAGAGACAGTCAACTTGGGCTTTCTCTGGCCTTTGCAATAATGGGAAATAAATTACTCCTTCAAGTAAAGGAGTAAATAAACACCTAATTACATTTGACCATACTGATTTTATATTAAGCCATTCCTTGGGATAAACATACACAAAATAGTATAAAATGGCTTTGAAATTCAGAAAATATCTGTTCTTCTAGTCTTCTTAAGAGCTTTCACTGAGTTTTGGCTACAAAGGAATGCACCTAAGAAATAACAACACCATGTCAGGTTCAGTCCTCTGTTTTTACCTAGCTATTTTCAACTTTTATCTCTGTTGTTTTTGCTATACTCTATCTTTTCCTTTTTGGATTCAGTTTTCCTTTGATGTTTGCCCTTTGTAGCATCAGGAAAGTGAAGAGACCATTTTCACTTTCTTCTCCCATGCCCCTCAATGATCCTGGTAACCCCATGGATCTTCTGATAATAAACTGCAGTTTTCTGATACAAGAGGTGCCTTTGGGACATATTCTGCTGAAGACAAATCTCTGTGTCATCAGTTTCTTTAGTGGTTCCTTACAGACCATCATAGTTTTCTTCTATTTTCAGAAATACTTGCAAACCATTCCTGTCCAGAGCTGCTTGGACTTGTGACTGCATTCGAATATTGACAGTGTTGTGAATCCTGGCTGTTAGCATGTCCTTCTTACACTGCAACACATATCTATTTACCTTTCTCTTCCTCATGTTTCTCAGTGATTGGGACAATATTCATTGATCAGTAAAACAGAAAATAAATCTTAATTTCTATTTGGGGTCCTTAGGAAATAAATTTTACTATGTAATTTTATGTCCATCAATAATTCCATGTATTGAGGGTCCTACCTTTTCTTTTAGGATCTTAACTCAACATTGTTTATAAGTAGAACAAAACTGTTATTAGGATTCCTGCCATATAAGAATTGACTTATTTACTTACAATTATCACAAAGCCAAATTGTATCACCACCTATAATACACTTAATTGTTGCAAAGCTGAAGTGAATTAGAAAAGGGGTATTATTATTTCTTCGATATATGTTTTTTGTATGATAAAGGAACTTAGGAAAAAAAATAAAAAAAAGGAGCTCTGATTCTTTTAGGTAAAGGTAATTCCTATTGGGAACTTCTAACTGGGTCCATTTTCAGCTTTGGAGTATGTTATCCATCTCTATAGACATTCATTCATATAGTTAATTGGTCATTGACATTATCCTCTGATAATGTTTATTATTGTAGATAAAGTTATTGCCACAGAGCTTGCTTTAATTGTCATATGTAATTGCTCCAAATGACTTTTCTTTGAAAAATCATTAGTTTAATTGGCTTTGGCACAGGAACCTTACCTTTAAGCAGATGCTGCATATAGAAGAGTGGGTCCACTTCCAAACACAATGTATTCTGTTTATTAAACACAAGTCTGAGTTTCCAGTAAATTAATATAATTCCTCTAAGTCCTAATTTCTCCTTTTGCAGTTATTAGGTTGGGGTCCTTCCACATGGCTTTTGTTTCTTTGTTTGTTTGTTTTCCTTGTGCTTCCCTTTCATTGAATGTTATCTTTGATATATCTGTAAATTGAGAATAGTTTTGGTAAGTATTGATGTTGATTTAGCCTGACAGCTTTGATGAGTACCAATTTGGCTCCTCTAATCAAATCTTGGGAGGAAAAAACAGATGTCTATTTGATGCAAATAAGCACAAAGGCCTGTTTTGGACAACTGTTAACTTAGGCCAAATCTGACACCAGCATAAACTATTTTTTCATTTACATCCTCCAGATGTCCTATTGTTTAATGTGTCTACCCGGTCTGATGGTTGCTTTAGTGATGTTAAGTAGCATTGGAACCAGTTACTAAATTCTAGGCAAATTTTTAATTACTTTGTGCTCATTTTCCAGGTAGATGGATTTTTCAGCTTGCAATATTCTGAATAATTTTATGATTAAAATTTGGAGAAAATAATTCTTTTAGGATTTAGATTTGGGAAAACATATGCCATATATGTGTTCTCTCTCTCATACTCATGCATACCATCTGTCCTTTTCCCTCCTCCCATCTCTCCAACACACAATGTTTATACTCAGAGGATAATATCCTTGTTTCTGCCAAAAATAATTTGAGGTTTCCTTTACTTTGCTCTCACTTCTCCTTCGGGGTGCCTAAAAGATTTTAAAGGTCCAGGCTGCAAACCAAGACTCTTCTGCTCCAGAAAAATGCTTGTCCCCAGCCCACACAGAAGAGCCAAGAGATTATGTATGTTCATGCTCTTCTCTGCTGCTTTTGTGCCTGTGTTTTTGAGTTTGATTTTTCTGAAGAGGGAAAAACAGACTGAACCACCAATGTAGCAATTGAATGGGGCAGCAGGTTCCAACATTTCCATGTCCCATGAACTTATCTTAATAATTGCGTTGTACATTAGTCTTCTTTCTAGTCAGTTCTTCCCAAAGGCCTGTTGGCGTTAGGCCTACTGACAATGTAAGGAGGTGAAACATTTTGACAATAAAATTCTGGAGAAAGTAGGAGTACTTCTTGTCTGAAGATACAGGAGAAAAAGAAAATATTGATAAAGAGTTCAGTTCAAATTAGCAGTTGGGTAAGACCAATTTTGCCCTTCTCCCACTTATTACAAAACATATTAATTGCTTCTTCAGATGGATGAGCAGTGATACTTCCTAATTCTGAGAGATGTTTGTTTCCTGAACTGTTTTAGCTAAGTAACAAGCATTTAAAGGTTCCCTTGTGGTTGGGTGAAAAGTGGAAAAATTAGAAATAAACATATGCTAATTTTTCTCATTAGGAATTCTTTGCACATGGTGCAATTAAATTACTTGTGGTTGTCTTGAAGAAATTTTAAGAGACTGTCCTTATTACAATGGTTTTTAAATTGCTCTTTACTTTTGAAATGAGAAACAGGTCCTCTTTTTAAAACTGCTTTTTGTTAAGAATGCAATTTGGTAATTGTAATAAGACCAGCCATGCCAGCAAGAAAAACAAGACTGGAATAATAAAAGTCACATTTTTTTTTTTTTGACATTTTCAACATTTCCCCCTAGAAAAGGTATAGACTGAAGGAATAAAATAAATTTGACTAATCTCTGTAATACAGATCTCAGATTAAACCACGCATTTCCCTGTTTGTGGACAATTATGGCAATTTTGGCCAATGTTCTGGAGACCATGAATTTAATTTTATTGTCTGGTGCACGTCATTTACAAGATTCACAAAAACACTGATTAAATACACAGAAGCAGTCTCACTAGTTTCCTTGACCATCAGGTCAACTATCTTGCTCAGGTTGCCTTTTGCAGAAATGACAACGCTTTACAAGATGGGAAACTTTCCCAAGTACTCTGTTTTGCAATATACTTATTGTTGTTTAAAGAGTTGCAAGAGATCTACATCAGTAGGAAACTTTACATCATGCAAATGTTCAAACTGCTTTTAGTGACCCTATATGCCAATTATTCAGAAGTTTTAAAACAGTCAGAACTTGCAGTACATCAAACAAATTACATAATGATGATATGTTATTATGTTATTACATCATAACAAGGCATGCCACTGATCCATTGAAGCAACCCATATTTTGAGGTGAGCAGAGGTTCAAACTACCTGTTATGTGAAGTACAGAACCTTTTAAAATTAATATTCTGAAGAGCATTCAAATCACAAGAGCGAATGGGATGTTTCTGGCAGACATGGGCTTGACCTGCACATAGACAATACACTGGACTTTGAACAGTTGTACCAAGTCAGAACATTTGGTGTGAAAGAAACTTTGGGAAATTAGATTAGAATTTCTGCATACAGAATGTGAAACCTGTCTGCAATAGCAAAACTCTAAGCAAAGAAAAATGTCTTCAAATACTTTGCCTGAATAAAACCTTAAAACTAGAATAGCAAAAGAACAGCTAAAAACAGCATTTGTGGTATGAGGAGAGTAGTAGGAGATACTGTGCTCAGACTCAGATACAAGCTCTGAATTCTAATATATTTGTAAAATTAATTATAAAGATCATAAGAAAAGGTGATGTTTGGAAGATGACATCTTTAGACAAGTCCAGCAGACTAGTCCATAAAAATCAACTGCAGTATTAAACAAAGTTATTACATAGCAATACACTTACAGGCGGACACTGAAGTTTGCCTTATATACTAATGCATATGTTATCACTTTGCCAGAATGACCACAGGAATAAAAGGCTGTGCTAAAGGATTGTGATATTACATCACCCACAGGTGCAAAGTAATTAAGTACACATGTTGGTTTGTATGCGTGAGTGGGGAAACATTTTACAATAGCAAGAGGAAAGCAAGCAAAATGAATTTACAGCCTTGCCAAGGTAAATTCAGCAGCCATGAATAGTTAAACATCTTATACATGTATGAACATCGACAGATAAAAGATAAAAATCCCTTAGCAGAGGGATTAGCTAGGTTTCCTCTTTTGCAATTAAGTGTTATAAATATTTAGAGAGGACTACTTTTGGTTACTCCCTCTTTATGGCCTACAAACACACAAGATCTTTTCTGAGGAGTAGAGACAAGTCAAAAGGAGAGTTATGGGAATATTTTCTCTCCCAGGCAGAGAAGAGAAGAAATCCAGTTGTTCAATATTTTGGCAAATCTTTCTATTGTAAGGGTTGTTGTGGGGGTTCCAACTTCCTTGTTTGAAAAAAATTAAGTCAACTCCACTGTTTTGTGTGTTAGGTGAGATATAGAATGCAGCTGCTTCCTCCAGATGCTTTGACCCAGGATCACTCCTGCCTGGCTGCTTGGTCCCAACCCAGCCTTACTCCATTAGCTGACACCGAATTCCACTTACTGGCCTCCAGCAGCTGTCACTTAATCCTTTTAAATCAAATACACACATGCATACAAGCCCACAGTCACACTGCCCCCCTGCCCATCCATGTTTTGGATGAGATATTCCAGCTGGAATAGACATTCCCATATTTCCCGAAGACCTCATCAGTTAGTCTGACTGACAAGATCTGGTTCCCATCACTGCCTCCCTTTCTTATTATCCTTTGTTACATTGGGAAAGGTTCTTGACAAGATACCCATAAAGAAGCAGACGCTCTCCTTCTACATACCCCTACATTGCAGAATCTTATTCTACAGTTGAGAAGATTTTTCTATGAAGGCTTCCTAGGTTGAGTACATAAGAAAGTGAGAACCTCAAGGACAAGATAGATATAGAGGTGTTGATGCACAGCTTTCTTGAATCAATTTTCCTTGATGAGCTCATTCAGTCACTAACAGGCATGTAGTGGCAGCAGGGCTTTCATTACCACATCCACCTGCATAGAATGTGTGTATACAAAGATGAATAAGCTTATATGCCTGTTGTTCTGGGAGCTTGGCTTTATGCAAGGCATCATTTAATTGTCTCACTATATGATTTTAAGTGATTTTAAACAAATTTTATTAGAATATAGAGAAAATGTTACAGGGCAATTTTAAAATTATTGATGTGATAATTGTTAAGAATAATTGAAAGAGATGTTCTGAAATTCTTCCAGTATATCTTAGTCTGATATAAAGTATGCTTTATGAAGAGCAATTATGATAATCTTGCAAGCAATAAAGCATTCATATAGGACACATAACCTCTTTGCACAGATGAGGCATCACTGCAATAAAGATGTTATAGCTCTAAGATGATGACAAGATAGTAAGGAAACATCTCCCTTAAAGATGAACAAGGCACCTGTGAATTCTCTATAGGCAAATCTGTTAGTTTTCCTTTCCACCACTATTCACAGACACAATGAAAAATATTTGGAGAAAACTGTAGTTGAATGCAATTCAAATTGTCCCAGCAATTTTTGTCAGGGAATCAGAAAGCTGACATCTTAGTTCAGAGTTCTAAAGTTTCTCTTATACACCTTACAAAATAGGACTGTAACTCCATGACTCTAAGCGTATGATGAAGATGAGAAATATCAGCCTTTTAAGCTTTAACCCAGTATGGCCACACAGTAATGAAAATCCTTGTTTAGTTTTGAAGAAAATTCTCTTTAATCTTCCTGCACAGTGACTCTTGGTATTTCTCCTTTATTTTCACATGTTTAAGGTTCTTATATGCCAGAGCTATTTCATTGTGGAAGTGGAGTCCTGCACTGTGGCAACAAATATAATTTTGTTGTTTCGTTTCTAGGGAGAGGAATAAACACTTTCTCTGCTTTAAATTTTGTTCGGCATTAGGACAAATTCACAGGTCAATTCTATTCTTGACAAGGAATCGTTTATCTTTAGTAGTTTATCCTTAATAAACTATTTAAACTTATTTAAATTAAATGTATTTAATTAAAATTATTTAATAGTTTATCTTTAGCTTATCTCTATGCATTGAACTGTTGGGAAACTGCTGTTAACCACACTATTTGTCACAAATCCATGTCTACTATGTTGTAGTTTTTTGAGACATTCAAGAGGGCAAAAATTCCAGACCAATTCAGAAAAAAAAGTCATATTAAAGCAAAAGCAGAACTTTTTACAGATCAGTAGTTTTGCATTTTGACAAGCACCTGCAATGTTTGAGGCTTCAGTAAAGAAGTCAAGGGAACTTTGTCAAAGACATTGCTAAAAGGATGATGGGCTTGGAGTGGGAGTAGGGAGTGACATGGAGGGAGACGGTAGAAATAGATGATCCATGGCTAGTCTAACAGGGCTTTACATGATGCTGTTAAAGTTCCTAGATGACATAGCACATCTTGGCATTGGTCAATAAAATTAGAGATATCTGCTTAAGTTCAATTTATTTACAGTTAGAAAAGGGTTGTCTTCACTTAGGGTTGGAGACAAAAGATAAGAAAGGCTTCAAGTGAAAAGAGAGGCAAATCTAAATACTGTAGTATGGTCTAAATTAAACAAACTGTTTTTCCTATATATTGAATTTTTACACTGACAAAATTTACTAGTTTCTGTCCTCTCTCTCCCCCCAAGGGGAAAAAAATCTACTGTTTTACTTGTGTTAGGCATTTCAAATTTATCTGAAGTAATTCATGATTGTGTTTAAGTACTTTATGTAGCTTGACCATTTTTTATTTGAAGTACAAGGAAAAATTACAATGAGTTTTCTTACATAATGGATGTTCTTTTCTCTCCTGTTAGCTTTGCAATGGAACATCTCTGTAGGGCAGTACAATCTATTACCTTTTTCTCAGATACATTATTTATGATAACTGTTAAAGTGTGTTTCATTTTTTCTTACAATGAATTCTTACAAGCTACCTAAATCTGAATATATATTATTGACATTGCTAAAATTATACCAGATTTTATGTTAGATGTGAACACTCAGATGATCTTTATTTCTGGAAGCACTGCCTGAATGTTATAGTTTGAATCTTAGCTGTTATGTGACCTAAAGAAAACACAAATGGGAAAGGTTCATACACAAACCAAAAGGGGACTGATAGTGTGATGATCAACAAAAGATTTGTAAGGAGATATACATGACTAATCCTTTAGGTTTACTATTAATATTGATGAAAAATTGGTTTGGTTTGCTTCCTCCCTCCTGTGTAAAATTCAGGGCAAACTCTTATAATATATAGACTATATATCTGTAGTCTACCTATCACATGACTCATCACTGAATGATTGGTATTAAATATCTTAATAATTCTTGGAAAAAGTCTTTTTATTTAACTACTGTCTTGTCTAGACATTGCCAATGACTTTTTATTTTGATTCCTTTATTTTCTACCCTCTACAATCTCTTTTATGTCATCTCACAATAAAATATGGGATATGTTCTGTAAGAAGATATCACTGCTGTTTTTGTGGAGAAAAGCTGCCACGGAAATATAATGTTCTCCAGCAATTATCCTGACCCATACTTCAGACCTATGTAAGACTCAAAGACCTACAGATCTGGCCAATCTTATGAACTTTAAAACCCATACTGAAGTGTGTCTGTTAATTTCTCCTGTTTCTCTTGTGCCCTTTTTCTCCAGCCACATCCCTGGAAGTAGCTGGACAGGAAACCAGAGATCTGTTCCCCAACATGTGACCAACATTAGGTCACAGTATGTGGGTGCTCTCAGGTTTGCACCAAACCCAAGGCTTTCTGTGCCCAAAACAGCAACATATTCTTATGTGTTAGACCTAGTTCCTGAAGCAGAGTCCATATGTCAATCCTATCCCCTCATGTAGCTTCATTTTAGTGAGATGTCTTAATGTTGTAGGTGAAGTTCACTGAACAAATTTAGTGCTAACTGGCTCCAAACTTCAAGCATTTCACGCATGAGCCAACACAGTTTTACTGGAGTATAAGTAACTTTTGCTGTTTTCCAAAACTCTTGAAAATGTGGTACTGCTCACATCAAATTCTTCCAGATCATGCTGGTGCCAGGGAAAGAAATAATCTGTGGGAATGAGTAGCTAAACAGATGGGTAAGTATTTAAAATAAATACTTAACACATTACGCTTGGACTTCTGTAAAGAACCAGAAAAATAATGTTAAATCAAATATTTCTGCACTAAATTATGATCATACATTATCCAGAAGGAACTTAAAAACAAATGGAAATGTTTACGATTCATGATTAAATAATTCCTGTGATCTTGGAAAAAAAAAAAAAAGCATAACAAAAAAACAGACAAGCACAAACCATAAAAAACAAAACAAAACAAAACAACAAACAAACAAAAACCCAAACAATAATCTTCAAAAAATCAGTGGCAGCTCTTTTATGAAAAAAGCCTGACTACAATCAAATCTGTTTGGACTATATCATGCACAAACGACTTCTATAGAGACTGCCAATATCCTTGAGAAAGTGGTTACAGATTTGCCTTCTTTGCAGAGTCCAAAGGGTTTGCGTTCCTACTGTTTTGCTGATTCTTTTAGGATTGTATATCTACTACACTGCTCAGGAAACCTGTAGAGTGGTCTGGTATAAACAACTTTTTCAAACAGAAGTTATCAGTTCTCTAAACAATGTTGGGCCTACTGCGCCCAGTGTTGTTACAATACTTGGACCTCCAGGGTCCACTCAAACTGCCTCTGACTATGGGATAATACAATGAATCGGAAAAAAACAAAAAACAACAAAACAAACAAACAGACACACACACAAAAAAAAAAAAAAAAAAAAAAAAAAAAAACACCAAAAACATCTCATTTGGAAACAGTAAGTGGGAGTAGTGAACAGCATGGGAACTGTATTCTTGGAATGTTAACACACATCACATAATGTAAAACACTTTGATCTAATTATAGTATCTGGAGTCAACTGAAAATTGGGGACTGAAACTGCTTATAGTCATACTAGTGCAAACTAGCACTCATGAATGCTTATTAGCTTCAAACTGCAGATTAAGAATTATGAACTTTAAAAAGTATCAATATATTAATTGTATAATGTATACATATGTAAAAATATTCATTTTAACACATATTTTATATCATCTAATCATATTGAAACACGATGATTTGGAAGAAACATAATTGTTTGGGTTGGGGACTTTTAAAGACCACTTAGTTCCCACACCCCTGCCATGGGCAGGGACACCTTCCACTAGATGAAGTTACTCAAAGCCCCATCCAGTCTGGCCTTGAACACTTCCAGGGAGAGGGCATCCACAACTTCTTTGGGCAACCTGTTCCAGTGCCTCACCACCCTCATAGTAAAAAATGTCTTTATTCTGTCTAATTCTTTCCAAAACAGTTCGTATGAGATTTTAAGGCCGTGGATACCATATGACAGCTAGTCTTATGTTTCAAAAAGAGTGATGATTGTGAAGGGGAGTCCAAGACCCAAGAAGCACATATATTTATTTATTTATTTTTAACTATTAATATTATTATAAATCTAAAGTCAAATTTTAATGTTCCAGCTAACAAAACATGTATTTTGGTATTTTTTTTTTTTACACAAGCCTTTGGGAATCTACACTGAAATATAAAATATAGTGATGTTTATGACATTTTTTTTTTCTCTGCCAAATGGATATGGATGAACCTGGAAAGTTTCTTTAAAGACCTTTTACAGTCAGTATTATTCTGATATGTAACACTGTGCCAAAATTGTCATGAAATAATCTACAGTAGATAATTATTTTTATTGAAGGCATTAGTAGAATAGTTATAATAATAAGTGTAATTGTGAATCGTTCCACCCTTTTGAACAATTACTACCA